TAAATGCTATTAAGAATGACAAATAACAGATAATTAATCAAGAAAATACGAGAAAAATATACTTTCAGCCTGAGATTTCTCGATTCGAGACAATAGCGGCTGCGAATCGTCTCGCTACGAAACGTCGCGGAGCCTGTTTTCCCACTCAAAATGTGTATAAAGGGACACACACACTTCCGGGGGTTCCATAGTAACAAGAGAAAACTAGGCAAAAAAGGGCATAGAAAGTTACGAAATTTTGTGACTTTTCCGTGTGTGCAAAAGGGCCCATCAGGAGGAGGAGGGCCAGAATCTACTGGATAATTAACATTTGTTTCGTTGATCGAAAGAAATTAATATCATGAACATTTGCATTGCAAAAATAAGCTATTCAATTTGAATGTTGAAATATAACGCCTTTTCGAGACTTTTCCATTCAAAATTCTTTTTTTTTTGTTAACATTTTTCTCAAGAACTGAAAATCGAAAAAAAGAAAAAAAAGGAGGAAGGAACGTATGTGTTTTTATATGTATCTAAAAAAAAGAGAGCTGTAGACTATAGAAAAAAAAAACCACCTATTTCAGCGTTTTTGGCATGAAATTTGGGTTTCATCAGGGTTCGAAGCCTCAATTTTGGGACATTTTCAAATCCTCAAATTTTCAAGTTCTTGATCCCAAAAAAAGGAATTTTTGAGCAAAATTTTGAGTATTTCACACACTCTTTGAACTCGACCGACTTCAATCTTTCATTTTTTTCGTATTACATTATTTCACCCATTTTGTACGCATTCTTATTTGTTCACCATCATCATCTACATCATTCCCCCCCATATATACTCGGTTTTCTTTTGGCCATTTTTAGGGTGCGTGTGAAAACCCAATTCCTTGTTAGATATGATGTATGTTATTTATTGGTTAAGAGCAAATACACAAACCCCCACTTATTTGGCCTTTTTGATCTTGAGAAGGGGGCTCAATTTAAGGCCTAAAAACGAAGAGATTTGGACTTAAAATAGACAATGAGGGGGATATAAATTAAAGGGTGGTCTAAAGACCTAGAAATGATGACTATAATTGAACCTCAGTGCGTTTTTTAACCAGAAGATAACTACTGAAAATTTGGATGCGAAAATTCCCATTTTTGACTTAAAAATGGTGGAGTTCGAGCAGCTGAAATTTTCAGATTTTTATGCCTAAAAATGTGCAATTCCAGTTGTTCTTTGTCAAATAAAAATTTGAAGACTTCAACTCTCCTTCTCTCTCTCTCTCTCTCTCTCTCTCTCTCTCTCTCTCTCTCTCTCTCTAAATTCCAAATTTATAGAATCCCCTGCTCTAGTTGATGTCGCATCATCACACATTCGTCGCAGCACACGCTACAACCTGAGACTACAAACTACACTCTCCAACCACGCCCATTTAGGCTCCGCCCCCTCTTTTCCCCGCCCATCAGGCTCCGCCCCCCAGCCAAACTGGAGCGATTTCGAGTGCAGATGGTGTCCAAACGGCCGCCGCCAGGACCACCAAACCCCGTCGCCCCCTCCTCGAATAATCCAGTAGTGAGGTGGGCCTCCTATTAATGATGGGCGGGGAGGAAAGTGAGAAAAAGTTGAGTGTTCTCTGTGGCTAGGTAGAGTAGAAGAGTTCTCCTACCCCGCTGACATATGCCACGTGGGATAGAAGAATACTTG